TGTGATGCAACATGCATCTGGGTTCTTCCAATTTATGTTTAATTTAGACGTAAGCCATTTGGATTGAAAATTCACACTAAGAATAATGAGCTGTAATGTTAACACACCAAGTTGATGCAGTGAACACGTAAAAATATCAATGATCTTGATAGATGAGGTAGAAAAAGATCAACAGACAATAAGATTTTGATATGCTGAAACATAAGACATCTTCCTGCTGAAATATTGTGTTTTATCTACAGATATCATCCCTAGTAAGTGAGAACAAAATTTTGGTAGTGAAGTTAAAGCAGAAAAGTTGAGGATCCTTCTTAAGAAGCAAGCCAGTGAGACTTCAGCCACTGGCTGAGGTTGGTACTTTGAATTTTCTTCATTTTCCTATTTATTGATTTGTTAGACATGCAAATTTATGATAAATCACAAACGTGTATAATAAGTTTGTTAACGTCATACAAAACTGATTATGTAAAAGCTTTTATACCGTGTATAACCATTAAACTACTAATATTATGTCTAATGAAAGACTGAATACAACATTATCATGTATATTTTTTTGAAGAAGCAAAAGCAAATAATTTATTAATATATACTTACAAACACAAAGTGTATTAAATTGTGCCACCAATGCATTAGTCTTACATGACATACTGGGAAGATCTTCTCAGCCTTATCACTATTAGTATACTAGATTGATTTCTCGAGCAATAACACTATCTTATACTAGTGGAAACCCATACACAACAACACCTTTGTGTTCATGATTATGTAAGATAATAGAAAATAATTATCATCATAACATATAAGTAGTTGTCAAAATATTAAAGGTAAAATGTGTACACCAAAAAACAGTTATTGGAATTAGTTATATTTAGTATAGAAATAGAAATAAGTTATGTAAACCTAATTTCCAAAACAATAAAGATAAGATTGTACAACAAAATGTGTATATCAAATGCAGTTATCAGAATTGGTATCCTCTTTATCTACTTAGTATAGATGACTAAAAGATTTAATGCTAGAATCAAGACAATAATAATCTTAAGGAAACAGAGAAGTAAAAGGATGCATTGATGAAAATTCTTATTAATATCCCAAAATACCAAAAGAAAATCGTATTATTTACCTACTTTTTAATTCTTCTTTTACCAGAGTGCAGGAGTCACAGGACTTCAGAAACAAATCTATAGCTGCTATAATGGAGTCAAATCCACTGATTCAGTGCCAAAAGTTAGGAGTGTGAGGAGAACTGATGCAGGAATTCTTGATTTTTCATGTTAATTCTTGTTTTACTGGTTCCTCTTCATGAAGTTGTCGTGTCTATGTATCAATAGTTAACATGAATTTTTTTAGTTTCTGTTTATTTACCTTTTTGTTGTTGTATTAATTCATAGGAGGTAACTTAGTACAAAAGCACATTGGAGTAGTCAAACTTTGTTGCAAGTGTTGAATTCAATGAAGAATAATTTTGAAAGAACTTTTACTTTTTTAAGATAAAACAACATTTAACTTACATATAAATTATTCATTTAACTTACATATAAATTAATTGGTACAAAGCTCATACTTTCTTTAAATTATTTAAATTATTAATTTAACTTACAAGAGATAGTTTAATTTTTGTTTGTAAGTGTTTAGGAAGAAATTTATAATGTTTTCTTAAGATAGATAGACGTAACAAGATTAATTAAGTTGGATCTCATCACTATTTATTTAAATGATCACGAGCAATTTATAGGGTAATTACTAATTAAGGTGTTTTTTCAAGGCATTATAACTATCGTATTCGCAGACATTATTGCTCATAAATGAATGCTACATGAGAAAAAGATGCATCATCACACTACTGAGTACCAGAACATTTGGCCCTTAGTTATACTGAGTTCATCATCACACTCATTTATTATTTCATCAAAAGATCAAGAAAGGAACTGTAATCTAATAATGGAAAGAAGTGATTATTCTCAAATTGTGATATGCAATATTGTTTGATTTATTGACTTAAGCATAAAATAAGAAGGTTTAATACCCAATTTTGTCTCCAGTTTGGTTCGGAAATCTCAATTTAGTCCCTCTATATAAAAGTAATTGTAATAGATCCTTACTTGTAATTATGTGAGTCAAATTAGTCCCTTCCGTTAAATATAGGCAAACGGAGTTAATGGACTGATGATGTGGCAGTAGTCACTGATTAGGTGTCAACACGTAATTGAGATTGTGCTTACGTGGTATTAGGGCACCTGATTTTAAAATTGGGTTTTAATTAGAAATTGGGGATAAAATGATTTGGGGTGATTTGTTGGAGATTAGGGCATTTTACTTTCTATTTTATTTCTTTTGAAATGCTAGTTAAGAAATCCATCCAAACATAACCCAAATTTTCCAAACTCCCTCGGAACATGAACTCGTACACAAGCAGCCTATGATCATCTTCACAACAGTACT